TGCATTACAATTCTTATTACACATATAGAGCACAACTTTTCATATCACTGGTTGTATACAAAGTATATTCACCCCAACTTGTGTCTTCATACATGTACTTTGGATAATAATGCCCATCACATTCCACCATCATTTCTAACCCTGTGCCCCTTCCCTTCCCATCCCACCCCTTTGCCCTAACTAGAGTTCATCTATACTTCCTAAACTCCCCTTCCCTACCCCACTATGAATCAGCCTCCTCAAAATAGAGAAAACATTCAGGATTTGGTTTTTTGAGATTGACCAACTTCACTTAGCATTATCTTCTCTAACTGCATCCATTTACCTGCAAATGCCATGATTTTACTCTCTTTTATTGCTGAATAATATTCCATTGTTATATGCCATATTTTTAAAAAATCCATTCATCTATTGAAGTGCATCTAGGTTGGTTCCACAGTTTAGCTATTGTGAATTGTGCTGCTATAAACATTGATGTGGCTGTGTCCCTGTAGTATGCTGTTTTATAAGTCTTTTGGGTATAGACCGAGGAGAGGGATACCCGGTCAAATGGTGGTTCCATTCCCAATTTATGAAATCTCCATACTGCTTTCCACATTGGCTGCACCAATTTTGCAGCCCCACCAGCAGTGTATGAGTGTACCTTTTCCCCCACATCCTCACCAACACTTATTTTTTCTTGTATTCATATCAAATATATATTTTGAAATTATCTTTGATTTACAAAAAAAAATGTAAACAGTTTCCATAAAGCTGCTACCCAGCTTCCCCAAATATTAGTATCATACATAATATAGTATGACTATTGAAATTAGGAAGTTAATATGGATATACCACCTTTAATTAATCTATAGACTTTATTAAAATTTTGCCAACTATACCACTAAATATCCTTCTTCTGGTCTAGGATCCAATCTAGGAATCTCTCATTTTTCAGTTTTGCGGGTGACAGCCTGACCTTGACACTATTGAAGATTTTGTAGAATGACCTTCAGTTTGGGTTAGTCTGATTTTTCTTAGGATTAGATTACGTTAAGACATTTTCAGCAAATATACCACAGAAATGAGTGCCTTTCTCAGTGCCCACGAATAATGTTGCTTAGTCTTCTCATGACCATCTTAACTCTGTTCATTTGGTTTAGGGTGTGTCTGCTTGGTTTTTCCACCATAAAGTTTCTGTTTTCCCTTTTAAACTACTAAGTATCATATGGGGAGCTACTTGACTAAACAAATATCTCATTTGTATCAGTCCATTAAGGCTGCTATAACAAAAATACCATAAACAGAGTGGCTTATCAACAACAGATATTTATTTCTCACAGTTCCAGAGCAGGAAAGTACAAGTGCTGGCAGATTTGGTGTCTGGTGAGGGCATGTCCCTCATAGATGTGTTCTCACATGGTGAAGAGTGACTGAGTTCCCTTGAGCCTCTTTTATAAGGGCATTCATTTCAATCATGATGGAGGAAGACTCATGACCAAATCATATCCCCAGGCCTCATCTCCTAATACCATCACGGTGGGGGTTAGGTTTCACTGTATTAATTTGGGGAGAGGGGACACAAACATTCAAACTCTAACACTGTTTATCCTACTGTGGCCTACTATACTTAGTATCCACTGCTGATCTTGCCTGCAAACATTATTATTGAGATCTTTACCAAATGGCAATTTTCTACGTCTATTATTTTTTCTCCACTTAGTCAGTGGAACAGTACTATATGGAAAGGTTGTCTCTTCTCCCTCATTAATTTACTTTTTCATTTTTTCATGTCAGTGTGAACTCATGAATATTTATTTCATTTAACAAGCTCTAATCTATAATGATCACTATCTAGTGTGTTAGTCAAGTTGTTCTGGATTTGGTCATTGGGAGTCCCTTCAATTTGGTTCCTGAGTTCTTTTGACAAGCCTTAGTCATTTTTCTTGGTGTTTTGTTTTGAGTTTTCATTACTTTCTAGTACTACAAGATGTTCTAGATTCATCTTGTTCTTCCCTCATCCTGGCTCCTATATTGGCCATTTCTCCAAGGACCCCTGGTTCCTTTTATTGGAAAATGATGTTTAGAAACCAAGATTGGGGAGCTAAAGGTGCTCACTGTGGGTGGTATTTCTTCGGCAGAGCTAGGAGATACACGTGTCTATACCTAAGTATCTAAATATCTATGTATCTTTTTATCTCTTGAAGGCCTGGAGTACATACTTCATACCTCTGTTTGCAGTGTCACATCACAAGATCCATTCTCACCACCTTCCCTTATTTCTAACTATTCTTTCACCAACACTGAGAAACCTGGCTCTCACTATTTACAAGGTATTTATTTATTTGCCCAATCTTAGTAAACACATGAGAGAGTTTCAGAGTTGCTCAACAGTGGTTAGAGATGGAGGAGACTCAGGGTGGGGAGGGGGGATTTTCAAGGAAAGGTAACATCAAACGCGGCAGTGAGGTAAGAAAACGAGAACATTGAATTTGGCACTTGGGGTTTTCCTGGTGACCTTCTTTGAGGGCACTGAGGAATAAATGTAAGATGAGGAAGTAGAGACCACGTAGACTACGCTCTGAAAACACTGAGCAGTGAAAGGAAAGAGAGCCATTACAAATAGGCATATTTTTAAATGAAGCCACAGAAGAACTGTATAAAGGGGTATGCAATCAGGAGCTGTCTGAGTGAAGAGGCACCCTTTGGGGGTCTTCCAGCAACTTGGGAAAGTTTCTGGGTAGCTCTCATTCTGAGTTCTGTCCAATAGATGCCAGATGCTCTTAAGAGCTGCGTCAGCTCTGTGGGAACAGGGACACAGGCAGAACTCGGTGTTGGAGGGGTGAAAGCATGCCAGGTCAGCATCTGGGTCACAGCTGCTGGTGGAAAAGAGTGCCCATCTCTGAGGGGATGCAGGATGGGACCAAGTAGCCTTTGTGGGATGCTCCAATTTCCCAGGCTCCGGCTCCGGTGAGAGATTCTGTTTCAGCCTTCTTCCAGTTTTAGTTTTAAGAACACCCTGCATATGGAAAAAGTCAAACGCCCCATAAATTCTCCAGCAGTTTTCTTTACCTTTCAAAGTGCTCTCCTAATCCAACTTTCCCATCTGGCACACACTGTGTCATTCTTGCTACTTGATTCCTTATTCCAGAGCAGTTCTATCCCTTCTCCCGACCCTAGCCACCTCCTGGCTGTTTCTACCTTTCTTCTCCTTTTCCTCCAAATACTTTTTTTTTTTTTTTTTTTTTTTTTTTTGTGGTGGACAAAGTAGGGATTGAGGAGACAGAAGACCAGAGACCTTGCCCATCCTTATGGAGCTATGTGGCCTTAGGGTGCACTCCCATAGTCCCTACCCAACTTAGTTCAGTATCTGTAAGAAAAGATGTGGATAGGGACCGTGGGGGAGAGGCACTTGATGGGCATTGAGCCCTTCCCCATCTCTCACTCCAGGCTGGAACCTGTCTTCTGTGACTACCCATGGTGATTTTCTATTTCTGCCCATTTGAGGAAGTTGCTTTTCTTGGTATTTGGGGAGTCAGGAAAAGAAAAGTTATTGGTGTTCACATCTCTCAAAGCCTCAGGTAGGGCTGTGGCTTTTGACCAACAATAACGGATGACCTTGTGGCTGTTTTTGGATGCCTCTAACAGTTATTGTGACACAGAGTCCTGTTCAATAGTGGAGGTGGAGATTTCAGACTGGTCCTTTCTCTATACTAAAATAAAATGGTTATTTTCTTTCTTTCTTTTTTTTTTTTTTTTGGTATGAGATTGAACCCAGGGGGGTTAACCACTGAGCCACATCCCCCAGCCCTTTTATTTTTTATGTTAAGATAGGGCCTGGCTAAATTGCTGAGGCTGACCTTGAATTTGCAATCCTCCTGCCTCAGCCTCTGGAGTCACTGGGATTACAGGTTGGAGAACCCACACCTGGGTTTTTTTGTTTTGTTTTGTTTTGTTTTTGTTTTTGTTTTCCATTGCAAGCGCTGCCTGGACAGTATTAGGGAGTGAACCCAACAACCTCTATCCCTAAACCTTTTTATTTTCTATTTTGAGACAGAGTCTAGCTAAGTTGCCCGGGCTGGCTTCAAACGTCAGATCCTCCAGATTCAGCCTCCAGAGTAGCTGAGATTCCAGGTTGTGCGTCACTATGCTCTGCAGCAGTCAAATTTCTTATCCCCATTTTGTACATGAGGCAACTGAGGTACTGGGAAGTGCAGTGACTTCTGGGGTTCTCTGTGAGTCCTTCCAACTTCTGGTACAACACTCTGCCATGTTACCTGCGGGGAATGAGGAAGACAAGAAGAGGGTCTTGACCTTGCATGTAGGAACTCCCCCAACCCCTAGCCCCGGAAAGCAGGATCCAGCTGAAGTGACAGCCGACCCCCGACGCTGGGGAGGGAAAGCGAAGCCTACCTAGTAGCTGAAGCAGTAGGGCCTCAAGTCTGGATTGGTTGGCATTTTCTAGGGCGGTTCCTGCGGAAGGGCGGGGATTAAAGTGCCCCACCACAGAGCAGGGGTGCAGGCACTGTAAGGGTTAAGAGCACCCAAAGAAAATAGAAGTAGGAGGAGGAAGTGGGGCGCCGTGAGAGAAGGAAGCAGCTCGTCGGAGCTTCCTCTTTCTCCTCTTTCCCCGAAGCCCCGACCCCAAGCCTTCCCCTGCTCCGCCCATCCGTCCTGCCAGGCACGAAACGTGCTTCCACCCTCCAGGCCGAACCTCGCCTTACTCCCGGGGGTTCGTGCAGCCGCACACGGGCCGGGGTTTCTCCATTGGTGRAGCAGGAGGGCTGGTGCCGCAGTTGCTGCAGATGCTCTGCGGGCTCCTGGTCCTCAGATGCCCAAGCCAAACCCGCAATGGGCTGACACTGCCCCGCCACCAGGTGGCGGGAGAGGCTGGCGAGGCAGCTAGTGAGGTCCCGGCCCCGCCCTCGAACAAGTCCCGCCCTCCTGGCCCCGCCCCCCACCCACCCACCCGAGTTGCAGAGACTTGGCAGATGCTGGGACTTGCCTCCCGGCTCCAGCCGCGCGGCGTGGAGGTCCGGATCGTTCCCCAAATCGCAGGGAGTCGCCGCTGGAGAGGGGCTCGGCGCCCGGCGGGGACTGCAGGTGTGTGGCTGGGCAGCCGGGGGCGGGCGTCGAGGGCACGGGTGGCAGTTCGAGGCAGAGCCGGAGTAGATTGGGGACCACTAGGGAGCAGTGGGCTCTGAGAGCCGGTGCTGTCGCGGGGAACCTGTACAGAGATTGCTGTTGAGAACTTCCGCGGATAAGTCCACGCATGGCGGGGTCACTGGGTCGCAAACCCAAGTTGCAGATAACCCCGGAGACACAAGTGGCATCCCGGGACCTTTCACCATAATCTAAGTAGCTAATGTTGGACGCCTCTGTGCGACTAAGTGTGTCCGCAGCTCCTGCCTGGGTCACAGAAATCCCTGTGTCCAGGGGTTCAAGGAGCCTACCCTGCTCCGTCCGGGAACTCTCTGCGTAACGTGGGCATCAGAAGTCCTTTTTCACCACGACCCGGGAGTCTTGGAAGTGCCTGCCTATGGCGTCTGCGTTGAGCCTCAGGCTTCCCCGGCTAGTGAGCACCAGCCTCCAAACAGCGGCTGCTGTTCTAGAGAATTGCATGCTTTGCGCTGTCAGAGGGTCCATGTTTACACACTGTGTGTGTGTGTGTGTGTGTGTGTGTGTGCGCGCGCGCGCCCTGACCCATCCCAGGCAGGGGTAAAAGAGCAAGATGTTCAGGACAGGAGGAGGAGGGAGATTGTTCAGAGGGAAAAGGAAGGCGAGATGAAAGCAGCAGGATGTGGTATAGAGTGAGTTAAGCCTCCTGCAGAGAGGCGGGGTGGGTTTGGGCAAAATGAGGGCCCAAAAGTAGGCCAAGTCAGCCTCGGAGGTCTTTTCTGGATCCATCCTCTTCCTCTCTTCCATGGACTTCTGGGTCATCTCATCCAGGCTTTCTTTTCTCCTGTGTTCTGCACCACCTAACCTGGTAAGGCTCAGGTTCCCAGAGCTGAGGTGCCTCCTGGAGTGTTTGTTAAGACAGATTCTCCAGGCTTCAGGTCTAGCCGGGCTTTTCAGAGGTGGAGCATCTGAAAAATTGTAATAATAAGCCCCTTAGGTGACGAAGTTGGACCCACTGATTGGGAACCATGTGTGATATGGAAGAAAAGATCTGAGTCCTAACCAGGCCCATCTGTGTGGACTGCAGCATCCACAGAGGGATAGGGACTACTTACCCCTCTGCTGGCCTCAGTCTCCTTGTCTGTCAGACAGGCTCTAATACTGATGTAGAGAACTGTGTGGAAAGTTGAAGGAGACAGGTGTGTTGATAATAGATGCACCTGGGAAACGCTCCATGGGTGCTCATAGAACAAGAGTGGGCCGCATGCGCTTGGTATGCGTCTTCACTTAGGAGTCCACAGGACAAAGAAGACAGGGTGCTCAGGCTCTCTTTGTTTCAGGATGCCCCTTCGCCCCCTGCGTTTTGAAGCATAGCTAGTCAGGACAGCCGGGCAAGAAGGCTCTGGGTCTTTACATGCTTGTCCTTGTTGGGGTTTTAAAGACCCCTTTCCCCTCATCTTGTGCAGCTTAGTAGGGGATGATTTGTCATCTCCTCCCTCGGAGCTGTCGTGGAAGCAGACCACCTTTACTGCCTGCTTCCCTTTCCTCCCTCCCGCAAAGCACTGCTTCTTGTTTCTATCAGGAATGACAGGGTGGATGCTAACTGGGGTACTGGGCATCGAGCATATTGGGGGCTGATGGTGGTGTGAGATGAGAAGGTAGAGCTTGAGACTGTGGAGGAGGCTGGCTGTCAGAGGCTGCTGCAGCATCCTGGGCTAGTCATTGATGAGGAGCCTGCTGTGGCCAAGTAGGGAAGTGAGGGGGGGCAAAGGGCCTTTTCACCTGTGTAGCTTAGAGTTTGGGAGCTCCAGCCTGGATTTAGGTGAGCACTCAAGCTGTGCTGACTTGGCCTGGGTTCAGAGACACTCACTGCCAGGGGCTGAGCTGGTCAGACCTATGGGACCACAGTGATCCAGAAGAACTTTTGGATTTCAGCAGGTGGACTGAAAGCCTAAATCATTTTCTCTCTTCCTTTATTTTTTTTTGTGCTGAGCATCTATTTCCAGGACTTCATACATGATAGGCAAGAGCTCTACCACTGAGTGATAGCCCCAGACAGCCCTATGAATCAGTTTTTGTTTGTTCGTTTGTTTTTGGTACCAGGGATTGAACTCAGGGGCACTTGATCACTGAGCCACATCTCCATCCCTATTTTGTATTTTATTTAGAGACAGGGTCTCACTGAGTTGCTTAGTGCCTCACTTTTGCTGAGGCTGGCTTTAAACTCAGAATCCTCCTGCCTCAGCCTTCCGAGCCACTGGGATTACAGGCATGCGCCACTGGGCCCTGCTAGGTCCTATGAATCAGTTTTTGTTTGTTTTTTTTTTTAAACACAAGTTTAAGAGAGGTGGACACACTTTTTAAAAAATCTTTATTTATTTTTATGTGGTGCTGAAGTTCAAACCCAGTGCCTCACATGTACAAGGCAAGTGCTCTACCACTGAGCTACAGCCCCAGCCCTGGACACAATATCTTTATTTTACATTTATGTGGTGCTGAGGATTGAACCCAGTGCCTTGTGCATGCTAGGCGAGTGCTCTACCACTGAGCCACAACCCCAGGCCTGAATCATTTTTTTTAAGAGAGGAAACTTCTAATGGGACATAATAGAGTGATCACCAGCAGGTCAAGGGAGAAGTGGTTAGTTTGATTTTTGAGCTTCTGGCCTAGATGGAGAGACAAAGGAAAGACTCCATCTGGCTTCTTCCCAAAGGAGAAGATGATACAGTCCCATAGGAAACACACTAAATATTAGGATATTTCACTAATTTGAAGATGTACATGTTTTCACATTTTAGCCATGCTGAAATCCAGGTGCATCTTACCAGAGATGGCATCTTACAATTATAATAGCACTATTTCTTCCTTAATGGCACACAAAATAATGATGCATCTTAAAACTGATCATGTCTGGGGCTGGGGATGTGGCTCAAGCGGTAGCGCACTTGCCTGGCATGCGTGCGACCCGGGTTCGATCCTCAGCACCACATACCAACAAAGATGTTGTGTCCACCGAAAACTAAAAAAAAAACAAACAAACAAACAAAAAAAAAACAACTGATCATGTCTTAGATTCTGTTAAGTACAATATGCAATTTTGCAGATTCAGGAGTATGTTTTAGATGTACACAGATGCATGCAGAATTATGCCAATCTCATATTTTGAACGTATTATTTTTTTCTAGTAGCTCTATCTCCTAGGCACCCACATTTTCATTATACCCAATTTTTTTTTTTTTTAAATTTCACTGTATCCAGTTTGAAAGGAAATCTCTGTACAAAAGTGCTACCTGCCTTTATAAAGATATCACATTGGGACTGATTTCATTATTTCTTGGTCACAATTTGATCAAATGGTTCTCTCCTGCCTTTCTCTTTTGTACCCTACGTCTGCTGGGGACACATCTTCTGCCCTTTCTCTTTTATCCTTCTTTGTGTCCTTCCCCCACATTTGGGCCTACGATTTTTATGGTGTGGGGCACCGTGCTAAGTACTTCATGTCCTTCAGTCTTCACAGTCTCACTCAAAGATAGCTCTAGCTATAGTTCCCAGTTTATAGATGAGAACACTGAGGGTCGAGTCACTCAGCCAGAAAGTGCCAGAGCTGGGCTGTCTCTGGCTTCTGTCCTTTTCCAGAGATGAGCAAGCTGTAGTGTGGCAGCCCTGTGTCTGCCTGTGGTTATCAAGTACACGCCTTGCACTTCATGGGGCACAAACTGTGTGGCCATCCACAGGTGGTTTTTGTTTGTCTCTTGGCTTCTAGGTTCTGAGTAACTAAGGTTATCTGTCAAGTGACTTTTGAATAAGTAAGGCCTAGCTATAGCAAGGTATGAGTGGGAAAAAGTTGACTTTGGTGGCACAGAACAGATGGGTCCTTTATGGTCCTGTCTTTTGATCTTTTTTTTTTAGTATTTATTTTTTAGGTGTAGATGGACACAACACAATGCCTTTATTTTTATGTGGTGCTGAGGATCGAACTCAGGTCCCGCCCGTGCTAGGGGAACGCTCTACCGCTGAGCCACAGTCCCAGCCCGGTCCTGTCTGTCTTTGCATGTGCTATTCCACCTCCCCAGTTTCCTTTTCCCTTCTCCCATTTGCCCAAGGAGCTGCTACTTTTCCTCCTCTGATGCTCAGCTCAAGTTGCACCTTCAACCCCTTCCTCATCTCACCTCCTGGCACTAAAGCTTCTATGGCTCCCCCCAGAGTAGCACTGATTGTCCTGTCCGACAAGGACTGACCAGTGACTTGGCACGGGTTTGGCCTGCCCACCCGAGGTACYTGATGCTCACGTTGTCATCAGGCAGGTCTCACGGCCAGTCTCCCCAGGATCTCCATCCGTGCACACTCATAGTGGAAGATGCCTGGATGCAGAACGGTGTGGGGGACAGCGGGGTGGGGTCACCAGGGAGTGGTGTGCTTTTCATTTTCATGTCCTCCAGAGTCTTCTTGTTGCTGTTGTTGACCTAGGCAAATGAACTTGTGTGGTTTCCTCGTAGGGGGCAGGGCTGGGTGTGAGGGCTGAAGGTGGCTTCTAGGCTTCTGCCTCACATGAAGTCAGGGGGCCCTGCTTCTGCCTGACTCCTCCACTCCTAGCCAGGGGACCACAGCCTAGTCTGTGCCCCTTCGGGTACCCGTTTCCTCATCTGTACAATGGAATTGTGGCCCTTGGTGCTTTCTGCGGCCGCTGCCTAACATCTCGGGTTCAAATCCTTTGCTTGGCAGTCTTGTATAGAATAAAATAATAATGACAGTAATCAGCAGCCCTTTTTWATTTTTTTTATATTTTATTTTGAGACAGGATCTCATGAAGTTGTTTAGGGTCTCGCTAAGTTCCCAAGGCTGGCCTTCAATTTGCAATCCTCCTGCCTCAGCCTCCTAAGCTGCTGGGATTACTGTGTAGCAGACTCTTATTTAAGGCTCTTTGGGTGCACGCTCTCGTGCTTTTTGTGCAACAGCTCCTGGTATGTGGGCTTCCTCTCCAATGA